TGAGTAGTACTCCATTTTATTTTTAAAAAACCACATCGTCCTTATCCAGTCTCCAGTTGATGGGCACTTGGGCTGTTTCCAAGCTTTTGCTATTACAAACTGTGCTGATATAAACATGGGTGCACATATATCACTGTCGTATGATTCTTTTAATTCTTTTGGAAAGTTACACAGCAGGGGAAAAGCTGGGTCAAGTGGGACCTCTAGTCCTAGTTCTTTGAGGTATCTCCATACTGATTTCCACAGTGGTTGCACCAGTCTACACCCCCATCAACAATGGAGAAGGGTTCCTTTCTCCCCACAACTCCGCCAACATTTGTTATTGGTTGATTTCTTGATAGCAGCCATTCTTTGTGGGATGAGATGGAATCTCAGTGTTGTTTCCATCTGCATCTCTCGAATGACTGGTGATGTTGAACATTTTTTCATAGATTTGTTTGTTGCTTTTACATCTTTGTCTGAGAAATGTCTGTTCATTTCAGATGCTCATTTTTGAATTGGATCTTTATATTTGGGGGGTCTGATTTTTTGAGTTCTTTATATATTCTAGATAGCAGACCTTTGTCTGAGGAACAGCTGGTAAAATTTTTTTCCCACATTGTAGGTTGTCCGTTACCTCTGCCGGTGGTTTCTCTTGCAGTGCAGAAGCTTTTTAATAAGATGAGATCCCAGTTGTTGATCCCTTGTGCTAGTTCCCTTGCTACTGAGGATTTGTTCATAAAGTCTTTTCCTATGCCAATGTTCTGGAGAGTTTTACCTAACTTATCTTCCAGCAAGTTTAGTGTTTCTGTTTTAATATCTAGATCTTTAATCCACTTGGATTTTAGTTTAGTGCACGGTGAAAGATAGGGGTCTAGTTTTAAGAGTTGGTTTTTCAAAAGAATAAATAAAATTGATAAACCCTTAGCTAATCTTTTCAAAAAAAGGAAAGAGAAGGCTCAAATCCATGAAATTAGGAATGAAAAAGGTGAAGTTACAACGGATCCGGCAGAAATCCAGAGGCTCATCAATACCTACTTCGAGAATCTGTACTCTAATAAAATGGAAAACACAGAAGAAATGGACAGATCCCTAGATAAGTATGAATTACCTAAACTGAACAAAGACGATATAAAAAT